TCAGGTTGCAAAAGGTGAGACTGACTCCTAGATGTGTCGTCCCCACAAACGGCACCAAATGTTTGAGCTCGAAATTCCCGAGCTCAGATGTAACGTAGATCGGAGCGTGCAGGATGAACTACGGTCAACGGTCCAACACCTTCCCAGAACATTCTTGAGACCTGCAAAACAAAGTTAGCACTCCGACGAGTAAGTCAGTTCTAGTCCAAGCTAACTTGCCGAGTCTATCTAGGATTGCGTACCTTGCATTTAAGGCAAGAGTTTCTATTTATAGAAATTGGGCCCGACAGGAATTCTGACACACCCTAAAAACGCGGCCTGATGTCGGGTTCGAAAGAGACCGTGTTACAGACTTTATCATAGGTCGGCTCAGTGTCCTAGCTCATACTTCGTCTACCGACCTAAGTTTTCTGGAGTCAAATCTCAATTTTTAATTTTTTATATTTTGTGTGTGCGTTGACTCTACTCGCCTGTTCGAACATGACACGTGGCAAGCCTGGATTCGTATCGAACAGAACGCTTAATTTCCCAACAAGATGAATCTACCATTTTTATTTTTATTTATTTTTTTATGAACCTATTATTAATCTATTTTAAAAAACTAAATACCTGAACACTTCACTAATTACTATTTCATGCATTATGTATCTAGGATAATTAGAACACGTTTAATTTTCAATCATTCCTCCAAAATTTCAAAGTTATTAAACCATCTTTTCTTTCATAACTACCTGAGTGCATTTTGGCAAAAACATGCCACATGTCACCGTAACGTGAGAAGTTCAACGACCTCATCCTATTTCGAAATCAAATTCAAAGTTGATTATTATTATTTTTTGTTTAGAACAAAACACATGGTTCCCCTGAAATTTCTAACTCAAAATTTCTATTTATGTCTCTCCCAATTTTTCCCTAGTCTCTCCGGCTAAGTCCTCCACAAATATAAGTATCTTGAGCATTCAGTAGTGCTTTCTTATTAAGATTTTTCTTACAGAAGGGATTGGGAAAGCAAAACTTCCTATAGTACTGGTGTTGGGTTTTTCAATTCCTTGATGTTCCCTTCCTCGTAAAACACAAAAAAGAAAAAAAAACGGAAAACACAGAGAAAAAAAAACATCGCATTAAATATTCTCAGAATTAGGCGGCAGCATGGAGGACGGCCGTGCTGTGAGCAAGGCCATGCTTGATTCAGAACCATCGGGTTCGTACAGAGACATCATTACTGTTGCTACTATCGCTACGGGTATTCAGTTTGGGTGGGCCCTCCAGCTGTCGTTGCTGACGCCGTACGTCCAGCAACTCGGCGTCCCTCACCCATGGTCCTCTTTCGTCTGGCTTTGTGGGCCCATCTCAGGCCTACTGGTCCAGCCCACCGTTGGGTACTTCAGCGACCGTTGCACCTCAAGGTTCGGTCGGCGCCGCCCCTTCATCATGTCAGGGTCGGGGTTTGTAGCGGTTGCAGTTTTTCTCATTGGGTTCGCTGCGGATCTTGGGCACGCAGCGGGTGATAAGCATTCGGATCCTGTAAAATCCAGGGCGGTGGCCATATATGTGGTCGGGTTCTGGGTGTTGGACGTGGCAAACAACATGCTGCAGGGTCCTTGCAGAGCCTTCTTGGCAGATATATCCTGTAAAAGCCAGAAGAAGATGAGAGTGGCGAACGCCTTATTCTCCTTCTTCATTGGCGTAGGGAACGTTTTAGGGTACGCAGCCGGATCTTACAGCAAACTCCACAAGATCCTCCCTTTCACACTCACTAAATCCTGCGATTCTTACTGCGCAAACCTGAAATCATGTTTCTTAGTACACATTGTCCTCCTGTTGGCAGTGACCTCGGTCACAGTGTTCTCGGTGGGGGAGAAGCAGTTGGAGCCCAGAGACGACATTGGCGAAGAGTCGACACCATTTTTCGGGAAGTTGTTCTCAGCACTGAAGCAGTTGAAGAAACCGATGTGGGTGTTGCTACTGGTGACGGCCGTGAATTGGGTGGGTTGGTTCCCGTTTTTGCTGTACGACACGGACTGGATGGGCGTGGAAGTGTACGGTGGAAAGGCGAATGGGAGTCCAGAAGAAGTGAGGTACTATGACCTTGGTGTTCGGGAAGGGGCGCTTGGGTTGATGGTGAACTCCTTCGTTCTGGGTTTTGCCGCTTTGGCGATAGAGCCCGTCAGCCGCATTCTTGGAGGTCTCAAGTGGTTATGGGGAGCTGTCAACATTATATTGGCACTTGCGATGGGATCCACCGTGGTTGTCACAAAGGTGGCTCAACGTTGGAGGGCAACTCATGGGTTGACAACTCCTCCCACCAATGTCAAAGCTGGAGCCTTTTCCATCTTTGCAGTCTTGGGTATTCCACTCTCGGTAAAACATATATCACCTCGCCTCCCTCTAAATTTTATCTTTTTCATTAATTAATTAATACACACTTCCCCTTCTTCGTTGTTGGATATAATATTAATTTATTTGCAGGTGAATTATAGTGTTCCTTATGCCCTAGCGTCAATCTTTTCTTCATCCTCCAGTGCGGGTCAAGGTAAGATTAAGAAACGTACGAAGCACTTTTATTTTATTCGAATTGTGAGTTTCTTTATTATTATTATTATTTGACGTGGCATGGCAGGGCTATCTTTGGGAATTCTCAACCTGTTCATAGTGCTTCCGCAAATGTTTGTTTCAGCGGTTAGTGGGCCACTTGATTCAGTTTTTGGAGGAGGAAATTTACCGGCGTTCGTAATGGGTGCACTAGCAGCTTTTGCAAGCTCGATGTGCGCCATGTTCGTACTCCCCGATCCTCCATCTCAATCTGAGGTCTCGCTAACAATGGGCGGTGGCCACTGATTTCGCCACATTTTTTATATAAGGCAGTCGTCTAGGTGTTATAATTGTTGTATCACAATTTTGGTTACCATAAGAGAAAAGTGGTACAACAGACGCGTATGCGATCTGTTTTAGATTCAGATTCACGGATTCAGTGAACATATATTTTGTAGATTATTTTTTTTTTTGAGAAGTGTTTTTAATTCTTTGATCTAAATATTAGAATTTCTAAAAACAATTTTATGATTTCATTATTTTCAAAATTTTAATTTGACACCTTCCATTGTTGAATTGATAAAAACTTTCATAAATATACTTTTTTGATGCTGAATTTTGGGGAGGTTCACATATCATTTGGACGAGTAGCTTCGTTTGAGGGAAAATCAACCTGCAATTAGAAGACTCGATGCCGTGTCCTGCTTAATACACTTTGACATTCAAGTTAATAACCGGAGTATAGATAGGAAAAAGACACCTTAAATATTACTGATAGGTTTTTCACTTACTTGGTGAGGGTGAGGGTCCTTATATAGGCTTGGACGGCTGACGAAGGACGATGGTTGGGATGGCAGGGACGTGTCGCGGGGTACAACACGTGTCGAGGGCATACGTCCCCAACAACTAGCAGGTAGCTCCACCACCTGCAGACCTTGAGCCTGTCGTTTGCCACTGGCAGGTTATGGTGCTCAACGTGCTACCCACACTAGAGAGACGGAAACACGTTTCCCTTGCCATTACAGAGTATGATGAGTAACCGTGTGTGGTACCCCACCTCTTGGAGATGGACCTACGTTTTGCTCTGTTAGAAATCCATATAAATGAATTAAATTTACCCAACCCATTAGTTTAAGCTTTTGGGTTGAGTGGTGATTTGTTCATTCTTAATTAATATTCATGGCGTTTCATCTCAAAACCAATTGACAATGAGAGGAGTAGCCAATGTCTATTATAAACCTATGTTAGGTCCTCTCTTGGCTCTTTTTAGCTCATCGATCTTAGCCGAATCTCATTTTTGGACCGATTGCTCATTTGAGCGTTTTGGACTCTGATATCATATTAATATCCATGGGATTCCATCGCAAAAACCAATTGGTAATGAGAGGAGTAGCTCATGTCTATTATAAACCTATATTGGGTCCTCCCTCTTTTCAATATGAGATCCTTAACATACCTCATTCTTGAGATGCTTAGTTTTACCCTCAATATTACTATTTCATGTTATAAACTTATTTAATTTTTGTTAAAATTAAAACATGTAAAATTTAATACATTATAAATTATATAATATTGTAAAATAATAATTGTACAAAATTTATAACATATATGTTAATAAATTAATTAATATTACTTTAGATTGAACTATTTAGTTGGTAACTACCAACTAGTTTGCTCATATATTACAAATACCTTGAACAATTTTTTATTTTGAAATTCAATTTCCAAATTTGCTACCATCATATAAATACCAAAAGTCTGCAACTCAGTTTTTCAATACTTTGTTTTCATATTTTTATTTTCAAATCACCAACCATCCTTAGATATCCTTAGAGCTCTTCTTCTTTTTTCTATTTTTCTATAATATATATATTTTTTGTTGACTTCCAACAAATTGTGGGGTTATTAGTGGATCATGTTTCTGTTGGCTAATTTGTACTTAGCTCATCAAATTAAAACATAAGTGACAAYCTGAACATAGATCAGCTGATTAAATATACTTATTTCTTGCTAAAAGATTGTGAATTCGGATCCACGCACCACATATTGTACTTAAAATAATATATATAACTTAATCACTTCAAAAATTTATAAATTATAGGGCCAAGACCAAAAAAAAAAAAGACGGGTTAGAAAATGGCAAAAAGCATTAGATATCGTGATAATAGCCAACTGACTGTTATTGTAGAATATTCAGTTTTGATTTGGATAAATTTACGCATTAAATAAATTAGCTATGTAGATTCTTAATTTTAAGAAATTTTCAAGCTGCTTCGAATTGCTGTTGTTTACAAAGTTTATATATAATTACGATATTTTTAAAAAATGAGAATAAAAAACATGAAGCAGTTATCAAATAAAGAAGAAAAAGAAATAATGTACTGAAATGTTATCAAACAATTATTTAATAATAACTATTCACACGTCTTTAATAACTCGAGATATAATATTTGGCTCATGGAAGAAATTCTAATTTAGATGATTCTTGGTGTAATTCAAGAATAATCAAGACTAACGATCTTTTTATGAGAGCGAACCCTAACGAGGTCCTTGCCTCCACTACAAGGAACAGACGTTTTAACGACACATTAACAAATATGTCGCTAAAACATTTATACAGTGACGCCGTTAAGTCGCTAAAATGAATATTCAACGACGTGGCGATCAATTTATCGTTGAAAAATACTTTCAACGACGCACCGTTGACTTCGCTTGTCGCTGAAAGTATTTTCAGCAACATGGTCAACACGTCGTAGCTGAAAGTGCATTTTCAGCGACACATAAGTAGTATGTGTCGCTGAAAAGGCCCGATTTACAAACCCATCTTCCCCATTAAGCGATTTTGGAAACCCTCGTCCCTCCACCGCATTTCGTCTCCTCTCCGTCACCCTGTTGCCGCTTTCATCTCCTGCTCGTCGCCAGTCGCCGCCCTTCCTTCCCCAATCGTTGCCTCTCCGTCTCCAATCGTCGGTGCGTCGCGAACACACGCCCCTC